ATGCTGATAAGCTCCAAGCACAGAAAGCCTCAGCCTCCCAAGCCCCCCACCTCAACCCCTGGATCTTGTGCTCACCCTCAGTCCCCGGTGATGTCTTACATGAAGCATTCAAGAACCGAAGGGCCTTAAACCCGAAACCCAGCCAAGCATGGTTTGGTCCAGGAAACCGAGGGCAGACGGACATCGTCCGCATGGTGTTGAATTTGCCTGGCCCTGAGTGTTGGAGGTTTCAGGGTTTCGGGTTTGTGTGTAGGTTGGAGACTTGCCGTTCTGAATCTTGTCTCGCTTTCCTTTTGTGTTTTTCGGTCATTTTCGGTCGATTATCGAGACATGCAGCTGACTGCGGCGGTGTGCATGCAGAGAGTTCTGAACTGTCTAATCGGAGCTGTCGTACAGCTCTCCCAGTATCGCTGCAGAGACTTGTCGTGCTGCTTTGCTGCACGATGGAGGTTGTGCTGTCTTGGGGCTCGCCGTCCGTTTCTTGCACCCAAAAGCCGCAAATCGTCCCACACTCAAGCCGACGTATTCAGGAAGTGTTGGGCCGTCATGTTGGGTATCATCACAGGCCGGGGAGTGTCGGGTAACCAGGTTTTGGGAGGGATCAGAGTGTAGGGGACAGGTCATGTTTGGGAATGTAGTGCTTCCGGTTGAAGGATTCAGGGTCACAAGTGTTTGCAGTAGAGGGTCTAGGAAGTTAGACTTGGACTTAGGCTGAAGGGTTTGGTGAGTTTCGGATAAGGGGTTTAGAGACTAAGGGCTTTGGGTTTGGATTGAGGTTCGTCCTTGTCTTGACAGAGGCTCATGTTTCGAAGTGCATGGCCCGCCCAAGAGAAGATGGCCGTTCAATTTTACCGAACCTCCTGCCACAATCTCCTTCGCCTCCTCGTCCTTCTCGTCCTCCTGCTCCTCTTACTGTTGCCACTACTACGACGACGACGACGACGACGACTACTACTACTACGACGACGACGATCCCCACTACGACGACGACGACGACGACGACGACGACGACGACGACGACGATTACTACTACTACGACGGCGACGGCGACTACACGTACCACCACCTACGACGGCAACCACAACCACTACGACAACGAAATTGCTTAATGTGTACTACTGGCTCCGGCTAGGACTGCGTTTGCTAGCAGTTGAGATCATACACTGTTGCTGTGAGGGTAGAGCCCTCTAATTCAAGCAGAAGTACATTTACTGTGTTGCCGAAGGTCACGCCCGAACACAGCCTGGGATGGATTGTTGCTGTACACAAGCAGCTGATACGTCTTTCACCACTTCCCCACGCCCTAAGCCTGTCTGTGAGGCTAACCGACCCTGAAACATAGAGGCCCCTAGCCGCAGACCCTCGAGCGCCCTACTAAGAGGGCCCAATGTCCCAATCAATGCTCAAAGTTTACGAAGCGTTGGCAGGTGCGAGCTCGATGGGCTTCTTCAGCAGCATCCAGGAACAGCCCTCCTCGCAGCTTCGTGGGGCTTTATGGATCTTTATGGTGCAGGGTATCGCCGGTATTATGGCCTCAGGTTCCGACTTTAGAGGATGTTTGAGGGTTTGGGGCTGAGGGAACTTAGGGCTCAGGGTGTTTGGCTTTGTGGTTCAGGCCTTGGGGCTTTCTGGGGTTACCCCTAACCCTAAACCCTAAGTTCTAAACCCTAAACCCTAACATTGTGGATTCTGCCGACCTTGACTGCTAGGTGGAAAAAGGTGCTTAAAAACAAAAACCCTGACATTGGGAGACCCCGAGAGCGACGTCCAGAACGGACAGAAGCTCGCAGGAGCTTGGAAAGGACAGCGCTACGTGGATCCTGGCGAGCCTCGCAATACCATGAAGTAAGGGTCCTATAAGGGTACTCTGGGGTATTGTAAGGGCTGTATCAGAGCTTTATGAGTTTGGGACTTTCAAGAGATAGGGTTCAGGAGTGAGGGTTCAGGGGTCTTTATTTCTAAGGTGCTGGGTATGGGGATCCTCATTCTTCACTTCAGAAACCCCAGGTGTGAGACCACAGTCCGGAAGCCTCAATCAATCCCAGGGTCGGGCCTCTCGCATTGCAGAAGTGCTCACAAATGTCGTTTGACTTCCAGCCCCACACCAACAAACCTGAAGCTAACTTCAAGAAGAGTATGACAAGTTCATGTAGGACGCAGGTAGGTGTTGTTGTTATGCAAGTAATAGATTCGCCTTGCTACGACCGTTGCTACGATTGCTATCGATACGATTGTGAGTATTGCTGTTATTGCTAATGCTATGGCTACCATTAGCTACTATTATGAACTTACTATGTGTGACTATCATCAGTTATGATATGATCAGTCATTATTATCACCTATCATTGCTACTACTATTGTATTACTATTATCATCATGATTATTATTTTGATTATTATTACCATCAGTTGTCACCGATTATTGCTGCGACTGCTACCATGCCGGCCGAGGATGCCTGTGGCAGCTTGGCGACCCCAGATTTGCAGTGCCGACTTCGCTCGGGTTCTTCGGGTTCAGGGGTTTAGGGTTTAGGAACGCTAAACCCTAAACCCCAAACCGTAAACCCTAAACCCCAAACCCCAAACCCCAAACCCTAAACCCCTGAACCCGGGAGGTTCAGGAGTCTGATGCGCTGTCGGGCGGCTTACGAAGCCCCCGAAATCGAAGCCCGAAGCATCAGGAAACCCTCATGTAGACCCTCAAATTCGGAATACAAATAAAGCCCTCTCCCCCGAAAAAGCTGGCTATGAGTTTGCGTTTTAGATAGAAGATTTTGTTGTGATTTTGGAGTTGAGGATCTAGTTCGTTGTATTTTTGTTTGTGCTTGCTATGCTGCTGCTTTTCAGCTCACCTTGTCGTACTTCGTAGAAGGTTTAGACTCACCCTGGAGCCCTCCGAGCCTCAGTCGGACTGTAACCCGCCCGCCTCCACGCTTTTATCCAAAGGTAGCTTTCTTCACACTGGGAGCCATCTACCACGTCGGCGACAGCCTCCTGGACTCCGAGAGGGTTGGAGCGGAAGCCTCGCAAGACTAGATCACAAGACCCTGATGGGGACCGTTGTGATTCAGGGCTTGGAGTTTGAGAAATGTATGTATATATATATATGTGTGTGTGTGTGTGCGTATGTATATATATATATATATCAACAATTGTCGGATCACAAGTTGCGCACGAATGAAGACCATGACTACCAGGCTGACAGTGGCGATAGTGACGATGACGAATACGACGATGCTGGGTGGTGGCCAAGATGAAGTCGGTCATGATCGTCTCTTTAGAAGCTTACAAGGCCTACCAGTACAGGAGGAAGCAGTTTAGGATCCGGGAACCTTCCGAAGGCAAGAGCCACAAAAAGAAAGAAGAGTTCCAGACTCAGGATTCCTAACCTACCGTGGACCCTTCGCACAAAGCTCCGCTGCGTATAAGGAGTCCTCAGAAGGGGTTCACGCGTGGTTTGTGTTTTCTTTTGCGGGGGCGCGAGCCTAGCACGCTGGGTGTGCCAGGTATCCGGATGCAGGTGCAGAAGCTGCTCGGCGGCATTCAGAGCTCGAGGCTTTGAAGGTTTCAGTCCAGGGACCATCTTATTCCTCAAGGCTCGCCAGTACTGTTAGCGTCTTATTGCACCCTCCTCATCATCCAGTCTCCCAGGGCGTAGGGTTCAGACATTTGGCCTTTAGGGGTTGGGGTTCTCGGGAGGATGGAGAGTCGGGTTTTCTACTTTAGGGCACCTTAAAGGTTTTGGGGTTCTGGGTGCGTCGCGACCGACTGTTGTTTGCGTGACCGTCACCGTCGACCATTGTGATTTTTCTCATATTGCTCACGATATCAGGAGTAAGCATAGTTTTCCTGGCAAGTTTTATCATAGCCGCTTAAAAGAAAGCTTTGATGGCGGTTCAAACCTGTAGCCATGCTTCTGGTGATAGTCAGGACACCGAGGAGCCATGGCTACTTGAGGAAAGGGGCTTTCTTGTTCCGGTAGGGCATGGTTCAGGTATAATATAGGGGCCTGAATGGTTAGAGTAGGCTATTGTGCACTATAGCAACCATATTTGGGTTGTACACCTCAACATGTTGCGGCGGACGAGAGTGTGCGTTTCAGTTTATTTGGGCGTGTAGGATTGCGGTGGCTTGACTTGTTTGTGTTTGTCGTTGATGCTTGCGTGCTGTTGGGGCGTCAGGGTTGTGTTCGTTGACGATCGGAGCCACGAGGATGGATGACGGCGAAGTCGATCTCTACGAGGAGGCTTGGGACAAGTACACGGACCAGACCGAGGATGTGGCGACTGGCCATCAGAGAATGTAGGTAGGACCAACACTCTTTCTAGCTAAATACCAGATATTTCGGCCGCCTGTTTCATGTGTGTCAAGCTCTAGTTGGGTAATTGGTTCCAATGACATCGTCGTCTGGGTCTCCAGGGTTGTGAGCTATGGAGAAGGTTTGGGAGTCGGACATACATTACATACACTTCCACGCTTCGGCACTGAATCCAGACCGATATCCCAACCCCCAAATCTGCAGCTCTGAAGCCCACGCCCAAGACCAGGACTGGATCTGACACACATTTCTGCAAGCTGCATTCGTATTGGATCTGTCGCCCAAACCTCCCCAAAACCCAAACTCCACGGACTCTGCCCCGAAAGAAGCCCCCCCCCCCCCCCCAAACCCGAGGTGATTGCCCTGACGGTCGGACATCTCGTCGTGCAATCGCCATCCAGCTGCAGTGCAGTGTTGAGGATCACGGCTCCCGCGTAATTTTCGTGAGTTTTAAAGCTTGAGGTTGTTTGGGGCTCTCGGGTGCAAGGCTTGGATCAAAACGCTCAGGTTTGGCTCACCAGATAACACAGTATCAACTACATCCTCTCTTGAATGTATAGATATGTATGTATGTATATATATACACACATACATACACATGGTATCACGTTAGCCCCAAAGCGCTGTTCCAACTATTCAGTTCTCTATATTACTTGAGGGATGTCCGAATCCAAGTTGCGGCCATGAGTGCCGTGTCCGGGCGAGCCACTCCGGGCCCACAACACGACTCGACTGCATGCGCCGTATGGAACGATTTGGCTCTCCCCATCGAAGTGAAGACAGATGTTGGCTGGCAGGTACTGTACCCAACTCGGAGCATCTGCTTGGAGGGGAGCTTGGTGGAGGTCCGGCTGCGAGAAGATGTCCAGCTGCAGGGCAGCTGCCCTCCGGCTCGTCAGCTGTGTGCTTCATGGAGCTTCGGGGAATTCAGCACAGAGGCGAGGCGGCGGCAAGAACTCGACAAGCTGGAGGTCAAGCACGAGGCGAACCGAAAGAAGGCAGCAAAGGCTCGCCAAATGGACCAGCTTGAGCAAGCTGTCAAGGCAAAGTGGGACGAGGACTCGCGAGCTGCAAGATGTCACTGTATGTTACTTGTCCTCGCAGTGGCCATTGTGGCGACATGTGCCATGGTCCCACCAGGATCTGCCGTTGTAGCTGCCCTCCTAAGCAGCGCGGTGTTTGTGTCATGCTGCTTTATCACATATGATGCAGGCAAGCTTGCTGCTGATAATGGCTGGAGGATCTCACCCGGCGACATTTGCTTTGCTCGTGGCCGTTTAAGATTTTGCACCGTCCTCAGCTGGATGTTGGGCCTCCTTGGCCTGATCATCTTGACCCTACGTCACTCGTTCGATGGCTTCTGGTGGACCTCCCTCATCACGTTGCCCGCATACTGCTTTGGCTGCAACTGTCTCCGAAAGATGTGCTATGGGGATGAAGTCGTTGGAGTGAATGTGTCGTATCTGACCCGTGCACACCAGCAGTCCGCTGAGCATGAGCTATTAAGGAAATTGAGGAACATCGAGTTCAATGGATCGGTGCTTAAAGGCCGTGGTCGTGCTTGCGTTTGCTCATGGCCAGGCAGATATGCTGGTGCTTGGGACGCCCTGGTCGACGCGAGCGTTGGTGGCGAAGTCAGTGCAGCTGTGGTTTTTCTGCCAGATGGCACGGAGGAGTACGGCGTGCATGATGCCATCCCTCCACACGAAAACCTCGAAGGCAGGTGCTGGTGCACACCCTTGTATGGAGAAGAGAAACCATGGGGTTGCCGATGGTTCAGCAAATGGAAAGCAAACATCGAAGAGGCTGTGGAGCATGGGGCTGAGTTGCACGTCTATTTCTGCCAAGGCCGCCTGGGCCAAGGGAGGGTCAAGGAGTTTCACACCGCCGGCGAGGAGAACCTACGGCGGGAGATGCTGAATTCCAAGCGCAAAGACTTCGAAGGCTCCCTGGACTTCCAGACAGCGTCTCAGTCGGGACTTAACTTATTGCAGGTGGAGCCACGGGGAGATGGGTCCTCTCAGTACAGCCGGGAGCTACAGCGGCTTTTCTGGGCTTCACTTCCACCGGAGGATCGCGAGTTCTTGGAGGCGTCTGAGGGCCTCGGCGCTTCGCAGAAGGCGGAGGTGGCCTGGCTCGAGAGGAAGGGTTACCCTTACTTCCCCCTGGACGTCTCGACCTGGCTTGAACGAGACGACGGTGTCATGTACCCCAAGACCCACATCGATGTCATGTGCGTCTGAAGCTTTCATGTGGTGATCGCTCTTTGGGGTTGGACCTGCCTTGCTGCCCGCAACTGCTGGCCAAGCTCCTGCTGAGCACTCGTTTTGGGCTCAACAGGAGCCTTTGCCCAGCCCAGGCAGCAGAGCTCTTCGACAAACATGGCACCGCAGGTATCCCTGAGATCCCAACCCGAAGCAATCGCCCAGCTGAGCCCCAAACTCCGCCCAAGGTCCCGCTATCTCTTGACGGGCACCCTGCCGCTTCCGACGGGTGAGGTGGGGACGATAAAAGTGGGTGTTACGGGCTCTACCAGCCCGGAATAGAGTGGCACCGGATAGATGAGAATCTCGATTCGAATCGAATCTATTTCCCCAACCAGTTTACGACGTTTCACGATGTGGGTTGGTGTCCAATGCCGGGGCTTTCGACGGACCCCATCAGGTGCGGCCCGGCACGGAGATCGAAGATAGTGACGTGTGGACGCTGACAGGCCGGGGCTGTCGGGAGGGGGGGGGGGGGGGGGGAGAGAAACCAACCAGGGTTGAGAAATATTGGGTTGGGGTTTCAGGCTGTTGAATGAATTATATCCATACAGGGTTTCGGGGTGGTAAGGTATGGTTTGTCGGCTTAGGAAGCTTCGGTTAAGATGCAGGGTTCAGGGTTCCGAGCTTGGAGTGCTGGGGTGCAGGCTGACCACGGGATTCGGGGGTGGGGGTGGGATTCGGGCGAGGGTTTCGGCTCCAGGATTTAGGGTTCAGCGGGGTGGGCTTAGGCCTAGATGTTGACGTTAGTCGCTGTTCGTCATAGGCAAAGTAAACTTGGGGCGAATACTGGGCATGGTGGCACCCTACAGAAAAAGTAGTAGCATTGGCCAGGATTTTTCAAGTGGATCACCATCATGACAATGATAGTAGCCAGTAGTACAAGGCAGGTAGCCAGTGTACAAGGCAAGAAGGAGCAGTTGTCCTGCGTGTACACATGCTGGTGATGATGGTGGTAATGTAACCATTCAGAATGGCAGTGCCCAGCCAGGTTCATTCATCGTACCTGTGTGAGTAGAGATGCGGTTCTCGATAAGGTATCACGTGGTGTTGTCAGAGGTTGCCTTGTGCATTTTTCGTTATATTTTGGTGGTTTGGTTGCTCCGTGATACTTTCGTATTACTCGGCGACAATATCACATCCGTCATTGCACTGCGTCATACTACATCGCCGCGTTTTGTCTTATTGGGGCCGAGGTTCATCTAAGACCGCAAACCACGGTTTGAGGGCTTTAAATTTCCGGCTTCGGGCTGTTCTTTGTGGCTGAGCACAGAGTGGGAGTTCGAGATTTGGCTCCCGGAGCCCCTTGTCATGTCCCATGCTAAGGCTCGACGTTTCAGGCGTTTCGGATATCGAATTTGGGGTCATTTAGTGCTCGTTCGGGGGGAATGTGCAGGGTTGTACTGTACAGTCTTGTGCTCCTGTGTGTAAGCGCATGGGTTGGTGTGTCTCTGTATCTACATGCGTGTGGGTGTATATAAATATAAATATAAATAAATAAATATATATATGTATATATGTATGTATGTATGTATGTATACATATTGGATAGAGCGCTATGTGGTTCTGCCAGATTCTTTTTGGTGCAGGTTCCAGCTTCATCTACATCTCCTTAATCATCGGGATCCAGTTCTGGAAGCCCCAGACCGACTTCGGCAAGATGGTGCAGCGGCGCGGCTTGACCGCATGTGTACGCAGAGAGACCCCCGTTCGTGAATGACAGAAATCAGTGCCTGAGCCCTGACATCATCCTGGGTCACCGAAAAAACATACACAGACACAAAGAACTCTCTCTAACTTTTACACTCACGCACTGACTCACTCACTCAGTCAGTCAGTCAGTCACTCACTCACACTCACACTCACACTCTCACTGTCACTCTCACTCTAAGTCTCCCTCTCTCCTCAAATCTGTGTGAGCCTGTGCGCGCGCGCGTGTGTGTGTGTGTGCATGTTCATGTTTGTGTGTGTGTGTGTCTGTGTGTCTGTGTGTCTGTGTGTGTGTCTGTCTGTCTGTCTGTCTGTCTGTCTGTCTGTCTGCCTGTCTGTCTGTGCACGCACGTATGCATGTATGTTAAGGAGAGCTTGCCCATGAAATTTCATGTCTGTGCAGCGGTTTAAGCATGCTCTCTTCTACTACATGTTGTATACATGCAGACAGACAGACAGACAGACAGACAGCCAGCCAGCCAGCCAGCCAGCCAGCCAGCCAGCCAGACACGACAGACAGACGGACGGACGGACGGACGGACGGACGGACAGACAGACAGACAGACAGACAGACAGAGACAGACAGAGACAGACAGGTGGTTCACCTAATCTTCGTTTCGGGGCTGATTTACGGGGGTTCACCGGAACAGTCCTCCAGGCCTCATCTTGCAACCGTAGCACAGACTTGAGACAAGCAGGGCGCATGCGTGCGCGGAGGTAGGTGCTGCGCGCCTGCCTTCTGACTGTGTGGTGGAAGAGACAGACAGAGACAGACAGAAACTTCCCCTCATGCCCATAGCCCTGGGGAAAGAAAGACAGACAGAGACAGACAGAGACAGACAGAGACAGACAGAGACAGACACAGACAGACAGACAGACAGACAGACAGACAGACAGCCAGCCAGCCAGGCAGGCAGGCAGACAGACNNAGAGAGACAGAGACAGAGAGACAGACAGAGACAGAGAGACAGAGAGAGACAGAGAGACAGAGAGAGAGACAGAGAGACAGAGAGAGAGACAGAGACAGAGAGAGAGACAGAGACAGACAGACAGACAGACGGACAGACGGACAGACAGACAGACAGACAGACAGACCGACAGGCAGACAGACAGACAGACAGACAGACAGACAGACAGAGAGAGAGAGGCACCACCGACGACGGAACGGGAAATGGAAGTTCCGATTGCTGGTGTAGGGTCGATGGAGTTGGCAGCATGCCCCAGTTGATTCAGGAACGCTAGTGATGCTAGTGTGCAGTGCTTCCACAGGGTTGTGCTGCTTCCACGATCACAGTCTAGATGTATGTAGACATATATGTTGTTATATATATATATATATATGTACATATAGCATATATATATATATACATACATACATACATACATACATACATATATATATATATAATACACACTGACACATATTTTTCCGTAGACAGGTTTTGTTTTGTTACTACTAGCAAGTACAAGCATCAACAGCCGGACTCAGGGTCCGGAATGCACCTCACCCACATCTTCCTTGCACTGTCCGGAAACTTTTGCTACCCAGGTGGTGGGCAGCGACTGGGTGGCATGAAGCCAGGCATGGGGGCTTCGCGGTTTATTGGTGCACTACAGGACACAAAGCTTGCATACTTAGCAATGCTATTCCTTCGTCGTGTTCTTCATTACACAAGATACTTGTGGCATTTTCGATGCGTCCGAATGGCAAATTGGTGCTACCCCAAGGATAATCTGCTTGACAGTTTCGTGGCGTCTAAACTGGTGCACCCAAACGGGGCTTAGCACCACAATATTTTCGCGACAGTTGCTTTGGGTTCAATCTGATGCACGCGAAAGGGCTTAGCACCACAAGATGTTCGTGACAGTTTCGTTGCGTCCAAGTGGGCTTGCAATCACAAGATTTTCGTGACAGCTTCGAGCGCCACAAGATTGTCGTGGCACCACGAAAACCAACTGGCGTACCCCATGAGGGTTTAGCACCGCAAGATTTTCATGACAGTTTCCTTGAGTCCAAGCTGCTGCAAAGGGGTTGCGCACCACAGGAATTTCGTAATGCCCAAGATTGTCATGCCCAGTTTCGTTGCATCCAAACTGGTGCACGACAACAAAGGTTAGCGCTACAGGATTTGGGTAATTGTTTCGTTGATAGAAGCCATATGAGCTTCTATAATTTTTTAGGAGTTGATATAACAAGGGTTATAATAAAGGTTACCCATGAGATCCCATGAGGTTTCTATAGCATTGCTGCAAGGCGTCTGTATGAGCTCAGGATCAGTATGATAGCTTTGTTGAGTGTTTCTTTTCTTGAGTGTATATAGGCGTTCCTTAAGCAATTTTTGGGAGTCAGAGTCCAAAGACTGAGGCCCCAAACTTGTGATTTAGGCTGGAATTTGAGGAGTCGACGAGTTAAGGGTTTTGTGGTTCAGTGAGGTGATTCGGGATTTCGGGTATATGAGGGCTCCGGATTCGCAGAACTTCGGGTTAGGCAACGGTTAGGGTAGGCCCAGCTCAACACTTTCAGCCGCCTTGGCGGCGCTTGTTGGGCGGTTTCAGGGTTTAGGGTTTAGGGGTTTAGGGTCAAGGGTTTAGGGGTTTAGGGGTTTAGGGTTTAGGGTTTAAGGTTTAGGAGGGTCAGGGACTTGGCGTAGACCGGGTCCAGACCTTGGACAGGGCCGGGGAATCTTGCGTGACCGTGGTGATGGTGACTCTCAACCATAAGGTCACTTACAGCCTCCACTTCTGCGGGGTTGATTGCAAGCCTCGCAAGAAAGATCAGAATTCCCGATCCCTCGACCCTTCAGTTGGAAAGAGACTCAAGGATACTGGCCAACTGCACGGCCTTCGCTCTCTTCTACAGCACCACCTGGTATGCAAAGGAGGTTGGGGCGGGCTTCAAAACCCTGAACTAAGGGTTGTGCCAGGTTCTCCCCGCTTTGGGTATCCCCAAAACAGCAAACCGTTGCAAAAGCATCGGCATCTGCACCGGAGTCCTAATGCAGAACGACACTGACTCAAAGCCTTTCGGGCCTATGCGGAAACCCACGCAAACCAAGATCGACCTGCACCATGAACTGAGGACTCACACACCCTCAAACCCTACACCATAACCCCCAGCCTTCCAAACTAGGTCAACCCTGCACCCCCAATCCCTGCAGCTCAAGCCTGGAGCTCCCCCGACCAGTAAGCAATGATCCCAACAGAAGCCTGAAGAGTCAGTAGCAATATCCCTGAAAATAGCCTTTTTGTTGCACTTTAAAAAAGTTCCGAGGCATAGACGCACGAGAATTAGACAATCATAACACCCCGCAGCCTCTTTACACAGTGCTAGGAAATCCTGCATTACTAAAGCTAGATTCCTGATCCTCAACCTGATTACTCCAATTCCGAATGCGTAAACCCCATTTTGGCTTTTACACGAACCTGACCTTACACCTCTGACCCAGATGCTGGAGCTGTCTGGGCCTGCTCAGAGCCTCGTGGTGGCTCTAGGCCGATAAGAACAGCTTTTCCCGGACTAAGTGCCCATTATTTGGGGCCATGTAGCCCCATTAATCTGGTTATCAAAGGAGGGATCCTGGTGTGTTTCTGTTGGACAGGTGGGGAGGTGCTTAGGGTTTTCGGGCTCCGGGTTGCGGGCTTCTTAGGTTTCAGGGCTGTGGGCTTAGGGAGTTCAGGGTGCTTCAAGGCCTGATTTTTGTTTGTGGGTTTCAGGTTTTTGCTGGGCCTTTTGGGGTGCTAAGAAGGCTGACTGAAGCCTAGGCATGCAGCATTCCTGTTGAGAAATTAGCCTTATGCCTCTGGCCTCTGAAACATCTATCCCCAACCCTGATAGCCTTTCGAATTCTGCTTTGATTGCCAGCTCCAAACAGACCCAAGAAGCCAACCCTCAACCCAGAAAGCCCTGACCCTGACCCCTACAGTCCCTACAGCTCAGATTACATCTGAACTGGAACCCCGAGCCCGAAGCCTTTTAAAGAAGTCCGGAGTCCAAGCCGGAGCAGGGGTGACGTGGTGCGCCTTCGACTCTTGGGCTGCAGAAGATGCGCAGAGTCTAACCGCACGTATCTAAAACCGGCCTCTGCCGAATCACCACTCTGAAGGCGGGAATGACAGCAATCACGCCTATCACAGGGATCCAATTCAAACGATTCAAAGGATGGGGTTTGACTATGACCTGGGATTCAAAGGATGGGGCTTCACGAGGGCTCCGGGTTTTCAAAGGAAGCATCATCTCAGGGCATCCTTGGCCCAACACGGTTTATCTCTGGACTGCCCAGAGGATAAGCCTGATGAGTTGGGTAGGTAGGTCGATGCAGTAACGACACATACGAGGACGACGGCGACGACAGCAGCAGCAGCCAGCACTACAAGCACAGCAACAGCAGCAGACGATTACCGCCACCACTACCCCGAGAGAATCACAACCACAACGCTCGCCACTCTGCAACTACCCCGAAGCGTGCGACTTCACTGGCGACGAGTGCAGCAACGTGGGTCGGAAAGCAGGTTCATGAGATCGTCCTCACCTTTCATCCTCCATGCATTACGCTTTATCCCCCGTGCCCCCTTCGCTTCATTTCCGAGATCGCCCTGCTGTTGTTGGACTACCTGGCCGACCTGGAGTGCACGGGAGAGCGCTTCGACCGGGCCTTGCGGCAGATGGCGGGCTCTCCCCCCTCCCCCCTCCCAGGGCTCTTGAGCTTTTCTTCTTTTTTTTGGGTTCAGGGTCCAAGGGTGTGGGGCGAAAGAGGGTGGAAGGTATCTGTTGGGTACTGAGGGAGATTTGGGGTTTGGGGTTCGTTCGGGCTTCGCAGATGTTTCGGGCTCTTCAAGTTTTTGGATGGATGGGGAAGACTGCAAGTGTGCTTTCTCAAAACCACCATCACGCGGTTTATGCTTCAGAATTACGGTTCGGTTCAATGATTCTATGAGGGGTTCGCAGGGGTTCTGCCAGGGTTTTGTGAGGGTTCTAGTCCCGCGTCGGGAGTCAGTCTTGCTCTGCTCCTCATCGATTGTTGAACCATGTATGATCACGTATGCCGTGTCAGGAACTCCTGAGGTGCCCGCCGGAGCGGCAACATGCCTCAAGGGGCCCATGTGCAGTTTTTGCTGGCATTGCCACCTAAACCCCACTTAGCCTCTGCACTTCTCCGGGCCCTCTGCGCTGGCACGGAGAGCCCATGAGACCCAGGGCTCTGGCTCCTCAGAAAGGCGAGTCTCTAAGAGACTCTGAGCCCAAACCCCAAACTCCCTTACCACCAGACCCCAAACTTAGGGTTTAGAGTAATTTAGGGCCCCCAGACCCCAACTCCTAAAACACCGGTCCCCAAACTTAGGGTTTCGGGTTTAGGGTTGAGTGATTTAGGGCCAAAAAAACCCTCCCAAACCATGAACTCCTTGGCAGGTAGCCCCCATCTCGGTGTTCATCGGATTCGGCTGGAAGGGTGCCTTTGCCGCGGCGGGCACCACGCTGGTGCAGGATGCGGCTCGGAGCTCGCATAGCCCCTAGAGTTCCCAAGATAGAGGCCTCTAGGCGCTTTATAAGGGCGTAATTAGCGGGGTTGAGGCTTTTGGGTTTAAGCTAGGGTTAAGGTTTTATTGGAGGGCTGGAGGGATCTTTCGATTCTGGGGTTTCAGGTCTTCGCTTCCGGGGGTTTTCAGGAAGGGTGAAACAGAGTTGCTTGCCTTGGCTTTCAGATGGGGTGGAGAACAGTCGAAGTCTCAGATTGAAGCTTCAAGAGTTTTGGTGTGTTTACTTTCGCTGTTTTTTACCTCCGACATTCCCTCCGTCCGAAACTGGCGCCTAACTCTCCTGGTCCCTCGGGGCTCTCTTGCTGAGCCGAGATATGTGATGTGGGAGAAAAGGAGCTCCAAACAAAAAAGGCTAGCCATCACTCAGGCCTCTCATCCATCGAGCGATGAAGCCGGAAGTTGGATTTCACAGCCCCTGTGATGCCGCTCATAGCCTGAAGCCCAAATCCTACGGCCCTGAACTCCAAACTAAAACCCCAAATTCTATAAATCAACTTCAGCAAAGCCCGAATAGTAGAATCTCCCTAAACCCTAAACCCTAGACCCTAAACCTTAAATCTTAGAGACTAGACCAGCAACCCAAAACCTCGAAAACACCTCTGGGCTGCCTGCTCAGATCCACCTTTTCTCGCCACCGCTCGAGAACCTCTTGATGACACTGCCTCTCGGACGAACGGTTTAGAGTTTAGGGTTTAGGGTTACCTACACTGAACAGCTTGTTCGTGAAGGGCTTTGGGCGGTCGGTACTTTGGGAGAAGATCATGGAAGACACCGAAGAAGAAAAGCCCTCCTACTGGTAGCGCCGGCACCCTTTCATTCGAAGCTTCGGCTTTCGAGATTTGTAGAGGCTACATCCCAAGCCCAAAGCTCCTGCCCGTATCCAGAAACCCTAAGCCCAAAGTGTCACCTACGAGGTGGTCTCTAAGCCCGACAGATCAAATGCAGAACACCCCTCTAGGTTTGGGATGGTGTGGGGGTTGTGGATGAGGGGGGGGGGGGGTCGTCTAGATTAACATGAAGGGTTCTGTTCGGGTCCTCCTTTTTTGGGATCCGCGCCCTCCGAGTCCATCGCCCTCAAAGCACTAGAGTGGCTATAGTCAGCTTTTTCTCAGGGTGCACTCCAGCGCGAGCCCAAAATCCTAACCCCTAAACCCCTAAACCCTAAAACCTAAATCCTAAACCCCAAACTCTACATCCTAAA